TTTTTAAATAAAACTTGTTACGCTAAAACATAATATGAAAAAACACATTAAATACACTGAACAGTGGAAAATCTGCAGCCTTAAATATTTATATGAAAAGTAAAAATAAATTCCTAATTCAAAAAGAACAAAATTAACCAAGAGAAAACAGAAAATGGAAATAATAAATACTAAAGAAATTAGGTAGAGAAATTAAAAAAATCATTATATCTAATTCATAAATCAAAATCCTGGATTTTTTTTAAATTAAGAAAGTAGACAATGGCTCAGTGCCTGTAGTTCAGCAGCTAGGGCACAGGCCACACACACTGGGGTTGGCAGGTCCGAACCCAGCCCAGGCCTGCCAAACAACAACTGCAACAAGAGCAAAAGAAAAAAAAAAAAGCTGGGCATTATGGAAAGTGCCTATAGTCCCAGCTACTTGGGAGGCTGAGGCAAGAAAATTGCTTATGCCCAAGAGTTTGACGTTGCTGTGAGCTGTGATGCCACAGCACTCTACCTAGGATGACATAGTGAGACTCTGTCTCCAAAAAAAACAAAAGAAAGAAAGCAGACAAAGTTAATCCAAAAAAAGGGGGGAAGGACAAATATCAAAATAAGAAGTGACAAGGAAGAAGACACATTGCAACAGTATAAAAATAGATATTACACAAGATTATTCACTGTAGCATTACTTATAATTGGAAAATACCACTGGAAATAACCTGAATGTCCACAGATGGGAGCACGGTTGAGTAAAGAAATCAGTATGTCTACAGGGTGGAGCACTAACTCTATAAAGAAAGAACTCTTTATGTTATTAAAATAATATGTGTATCCAGAATATACTCTTAAGTGGAAAAAGCAAAGGGTACAGGAATATATGTAGTGTACTACTTTTATGTAGGAAATAAGACATATATTAATCTGTTCATTCTGTGTAAGAAAAACAAAAGAGTTAAACAAATGAGAAACTAATCAGAGTAACTGCCTAGGGAGTGGGGGAGAAAAATGGAAAGGGCAGGTGGGTCTGAGAAGTGGAAGAGCTGGGAGGGACGACCCGCCCTTCCCTGGGTGTGGCTTTTTGTATGGTGCTGACTCTGAAGCCATGTTAACGTTACCGTTACTCAGAGAAAAGTAAGGAGATCAACAAAGATGAGCGAGAATTAAAAAACCCTAAAATGAAAATCAAACCAGTATCTCTATTTTAGATGACTAACATAACAATACTAAACGGGAAAGGAAGAACTAACCTAAGTAACTTTTGAATGATCTTTTTGCTACATATTCTCAGGTTGTAAACAAAAGTGAGCCGTGAATAAACATTAAATTCCATAAATGGTTTGATTTTTATGTTCTTAAGGATTAGCAATTCTGAATTTCCTTTGTATACTCTAGGACTAAGCAAATAAGTAAGTATACCATGAAGAACAGAAGCCAGGCTTCTTGCTGTCAAAGGAAGTTACAAAAAGGAGGGGGGGGGAGGCTAGACTGAACCTCACAGTGGCATTGGCATTTAGAACAGGAATTTGTTGTCATAGTTTTTAATACACAGAGACAGATGTGGGGAGAGTGTATGTGTGTATATGGTACGTATGCCCTAACCCTGTCCACTGAGAGGTCTCTTAGGGTGTGTTTTATGTGTTAACTTGACTAGGCATAGAGTACCCAGATATTTGGATAAATATTGTTATGTTTTCTGTGAGGGTGTTTTGGGAAAAGATTTACATTTGAATTGGTAGATCAGACTGCCCTCCATAATATAGAGGGGCTCATTCAATCAGTTGAAAGCAAGAATAAAACAAAAAGACCAACCCCCAGTGAGAGATGTTCTGCCAGAAGACTGCCTACACACTTCATCTGCTACGTCAACTCTTCCCACCTGAGGGCCCTCAAACTCGAACACCAGCTCTCCCTGGGTCTTTAGCCTGCTGGCCCACGTTGAAGACTGGACTTGCCAACCTCCATAATCACGTAAGCCAATTCCAATCACCATAGGTTTGCTTCTCTAAAGAACCATGACTAACACAAGAGCTAAAAGTAATGCTCGCTCGGTAGCAATGAGTACAAATGCCCAGGTCTTGATTTCTAAATACCATTCTCACTAAAAGGAATTAGGGCTCCTTAAAGAAATGGCAAATTCTAACTCTGGGAAGGAAAGCACAGGATGACTCTAGGACACCTGTTCCCAGAATATAAGAAAATTCTCAAAGATTTATGGCATATGTCAAAAGGACACAAACTGATTCAGATATGAAATGTGACTTTAAAACTAGTGGGTTGGCTCAGCACCTGTGGCTTAAGCAACTAAGGCACCAGCCACATACACCTGAGCTGGTGGGTTTGAATCCAGCCAGGGCCCGCCAAACAACAATGATGGCCGCAACCAAAAAATAGCCAGGCCTTGTGTTGGGCACCTGTAGTCCCAGCTACTTGGGAGGTGGAGGCAGGAGAATCGCTTGAGCCCAGGAGCTGGAGGTTGCTGTGAGCTGTGATGCCATGGCACTCTACCCAGGGTGACAGCTTGAGGCTCTGTCTCAAAAAAATAAATAAGTAAATAAAACTAGTGGGTAAAAAATTTATGAGAAACAGGATTATTTACATAGTCTTAAAGTATCTCCCCACAAGATACATACTAATTGTAAAGAGAAAACCGGCAATTTTACAGTGGAGAAATCTGGAAAACTCCTGCATAACAAGTTCATAAAAGCTTATACATCACCAGTAATGGAAGAAAACAGTAGTCTCCAAGTAGGATACACAGAAGGCATATCACTTCCATAGAACCCCAGGCAAAAAAAATGCATAACCTCAAGCTAAACATGAGGAAATAGCAGAAAAACCTAAATTGTAGTATATTTCTAAAATATTAAAAAATGTCTTATCATGAAACAAAAAGAAATAGCAAGGAAGTATCACAGATTAAAGGAGACTAAGGAGGCAGGACAACTGAAAGTAACACAGAAATCCTGCATGGACCCTAAACCAAGAAAAAAATTTTCTCTTTTACTTAAAAGGACATAAGGAAATATAGCAAAATTTAAATAAAGCCTATAGAGTACAGGTCAATGTTACTTGCCTGATTTTTAATGACTGATTATACCTTGGCCTTTTAAAAAAAGCCTTTATTGTCTTATTTTTTAGAAAATGCACATGGAAGTAAGTATTTAGGCATAAAGAAACACAATGTTTACAAGCCACTCTCAAATGGTTCAGAAAAGAAACAATAATTATTTATTGCTTTATGAAAAGTAAATATGATATAAGTTCACATTAGGACACTGTGGGGTGACGGCTACACGGAAATTCTTTTTTTTTTTTTTTTTTGGCCTGGGGCTGGGTTTGAACCCACCACCTCCGGTATATGGGGCCAGCACCCTACTCCTTTGAGCCACAGGTGCCGCCCTACATGGAATTTCTTTAAATTATTTTTACAATTTATCTATAAGTCTGAAATTATTTCAAAACAGAATACATTTAGGTAGCATTACAATAGTATTTGATGGTAAACTTTTCTGTATTATTCCCCAATACATGTGCATACCTACATACACATATTGTAAAAGGCAAAAACGTAAGAGAAATCCTCATATTATCCTTTTCCTCCATATACAAACGGCACAAAACCTGCTGACTCTATCTCATTCTCTTCAATAGCACTATTGCCTCAATTATTAAGTAACTTCTCAAAGATTTCCTGATTATAAACCCATCCCCCTTTCAATTTACCCTTCATCCACTTGCAGAATTAATCGTCTCACTAATTCACTTGAAAATCCTGAATGGTCCCCCGTGGCCAACTCTTTGACAAGCTCATGTCATCCAGGTGGCTGCAGTCGTCAGCCACTATAATCCACTGACCAGGTTTCATGAACCTGTAGTGGATAATGCTGGACCACCAGACACCATTAGCTTTTTTTGATAAATATTTGGTTTTAGACTGTGTTTCGGCACTTCATCTTTATCAAACCATTGTTCAGAATGCCTGCAATTATCAGAAACAAACCATTTTTCATCATACATAACAATACGATGTAGAAATGGTTTGCCTTTACATTGTGATGGCAAAGAAATGCAAGCTTCAAGACAATTTCTCTTCTGATGCCTGTTTAATTCACACAGAACCCATCTGTCCAGCTTTTTTACCTTGCCAATTTGTTTCAAATGGTCCAATATTGCTGGAATAGTAATGTCAAACCTTGCTGCTAAGTGACACACAGGTAGAGACAGATTCATGTCCACTATAGCTTTCAGCTCACCATTATATACCTTGGTCTCAGATCACCCACAAACTCATTTTCATTATTAAAGCGACCAGAACTGAACTTCTCACACCAAGGACATAATATTAACTACATCCTTCCCAAACACTCCGTTGATATTGCAAGTGGTCTGCATTGCACTGGTTCCACAATGGAACTTATATTCAAAAATAACACAAACTTTGGACTTATCCATGGTTTCACAAAAATTGCTCTAAGAAGAAACTTTTGAAAGAATCGCAAGCCGAAACATCCATTTGGAAGAAGGAGGATATATTTTCACAATAAGAAAACAAAAACAAACAAAAAAACAAAACAAAACAAAAATGTCAAACTGAAACGTCAGAGATATCAACAGTCAAACTTAGCACTTAAGGACATCAAGTGTTTCATACTTCATAGCCTGTACCACTGCCTCTCTCTCTACCTCATGTCTTTCTCATCAACAAGAAACCAAGCGCAGCTCCCGGAATGTGCAATGCTATTACATGATTGTGCACTGACCTATGCTGTCACCTCTACTGTCAATGTCATTATTGACAACCCTTTGTCCAGGAAATTTCTACTCATGTTTTAAACCCTGTCTCAGGTTCGCAGCCTTCCCTGACACAACACTCAATGTGAGGACGTGTAACCATGCTCTCCCTCCTCGGGGTTATCATTTACCTTCCACTCTGTTACAGTCATTATTCCCTGTCTCCCCTCCTCACATGAGTGGACTGACAGAAGGAACCATGTCATTTTTATTTTTTGAATTACCTGGAATACAATAGATTCTCCTGCAGTGTTGGTTACAATGAGTATGTTCACATACACACACCATACAAGCATATAGTAAATGATACAAAACAAAATATCACGACGTTCTCCATCAGTAAGCTGACAAGGAAAACCTAAGAATTAAAAAAAAAAAATAATGTTAAGCCTAATAAACATTTTCACAGGGGAGATGACACATGCTCTTGCTTATTATCTAAGTTAGAACAAGTCCTAGACTTAATTTTTTTACACTCATTTTTTGTAAAACATAATTTGATGTAGTATTTTGATTTTTTTTTCTTAAATTTAAGAAGATTTATTGTCAGCCAACTATGTGTCACTGATGGTTTGGAGCATGCATTTTCCAAAGGTTCTGAGAAAATGTGACCCAATTTTTATATTCTATTGTTGGGTGATTAAAAACACTTTGTAGTTCACAGGCTTTAAAGTCATGAATTGGACCCAAAATAAATTTATGCAAATAAAGTAACACAAAACCAAATTAGTTTTATTTTACAATATTTAAGTTCAAGAATCATCTTTTTGGTGCTTCCAAAGAAGTAATTCCTGATTTAAACTCAATTTTATAAAAAATTTAATCAGTGCTTGAAACTAAGACAATTTTATACATCACAAAGAAGTTTAAAAGAAAACATTACAGGCTCAGCAGCTGTAGCTCAGCAGCTAGGACTGGTAGGTTTGAACTCGGCCCAGACCTGCCAAACAATAATGACAACTATAAAAAAAAAAAATAGACAGTCATGTGGCAGGCACCTGTAATCCCAGCTACTTGGGAGGCTGAGGAAAGAGAATTGTTTAAGCCCAAGAGTTTGAAGTTGCTGTGAGCTGTGACGCCACAGGACACTACTGAGGGTGACACAGTGAGACTCTGTCTCAAAAAAAAAAAAGAAAGAAAACATTACAAATGTGACATATGCCCTCCCTTCTGATATATTACAGTGATGACTAAAATAATTTTCTAATACTGAAACAGAGATCCTTACATTATTAATGACAATATCCATGTGAAAGATTTTATGAAAAAAACATGACATACAGAGATGCAAAATCATAACTACATAAATTAGCACTGCTACTGTTGTCTTTGATCCTCACCTTCCTGGTTTTTCTGATGGCTTTCTGATGATCAATCACTTCTTAGACTTTTGGGGGGACCTGACAAGATTTGATCCTGCTTGCTCTGCCCTTCCGATATGTTTCCATCATAGCCTACACTTATAAGCATAAAATTCAGCATTTGTTAAAAGTATATGCTTCAGAAGATCAGGGACAGAGCCAGGTTTTTTTTTTTTTGGGAGACAGAGCCTCAAGCTGTCCCCCTGGGTAGAGTGCTGTGGCATAGGTCACAGCAACCTCCAACTCCTGGGCTCAAGCGAGCCTCCTGCCTCTGCCTCCCAAGTTGCTGGGACCACAGGCACCCGCCACAACGCCTGGCTATTTTTTGGTTGCAGCCATCATTGTTGTTTGGCAGACCCGGGCTGGATTCGAACCCGCCACCTTGGGTGTATGTGGCTGGTGCCTTAGCCACTTGAGCCATAGGCGCCGAGCCAAGCCAGTTTTATTTACCATTTTGTCTGTGACCCTTTCCTTCTAAATATTAAGATAAACCACTGAGTTCATGTAGAGATAGCTTTAAGGGCTAATTTTTACAAGGATTTAGTTTCTTTTCTTTTAGAATAAGGAAAGTGATTATTTTCCAGAATAACCACTGGTAATCAGACCTATGTATCAAATATTGCAATAGGTCTGCCTTCAGTAGCATAAAGGGTAAGTTCAAAATCTGCCCTCAATGTCTGAAAGCACAGAGACCTCCCTTGTCCCATTCATCACAAAGCAGAGTCCATGGGATTTGATAGCTTTATCTAATGCCATAAGGATAGAGATCTAACTAGCACATATAAGTTTTGAAATGATACTGTAAGTATTAATTACAAGCTGACCTTTGAACAACATGGGGTTTAGAGGCACTGACCCTCCTCCTCCCCCGCAATTACTAAGTGCAGGAAAAAGTGCCAGAAAAAATCTGCATATCAACTTTTGACTCCCCCCAGAAACTTAACTGCTGTTGCCTACTACTGACTAGAAGCTTGCTTAATGTGGACAGCTGATTAACACATTTTGTATGTTGTATGTATTATATACTATATTCTTGGCTGGAGAAAAGAAAATGTTATAAAGAAAATCATAATGTAAAGAAAATACATATAGTACTCATTAAGTGGAAGTAGATCATCTTCAAGGCCTTTATCCCCCCTCACATTGAGTAGACTGAGGAGAAGGAAGGAGAAAAGGGCTGTATCAGGGTGACAGAGGTGGAAGAATACCTGTGTCAGTGGACCCACACAGTTCAAACCCATATTGTTCACAGGCAAACTGAATAATTATATAAATAAGACCACAGAAGACTGATGGCATAATAAAAACCAAGACCTTCCCATGATCTCCCCTTAGAAATCCTACTATAGATCAATCAAACTTCTTAAAAATTATTAGGTTCCAGTTGGGCATGGTGGCTCACACCTGTAATCCTAGCACTCTGAGGGGCCAAAGGTGGTGGATTGCTTGAGCTCAGGAGTTTGACACCAGCCTGAGCAACAGCGAGACCTTCTTTCCTACTAAAAATAGATTATGATGGGTTCCTATAATCCCAGCTACTCAAGAGGGTGAGGCAAGAGGATTACTCAAGCCCAACAGTTTGAGGTTGCTGTGAGCTATGATGCCAGGGCACTCTACCTAGGGCAATAGAGTGAGACTGTGTCTCAAAAAAAGTTATTAGCTTTCATAAATATATAGATTAAATGACACATTATACTTACAGTATACACTACATTTAGAAACACAGAAAATCTGAAAAGTGATTCAACAATTATCCAATAATTCTCACTACCATTCCTTAAGATCAGCCTTTCGAAGTATTCACCTGTTTCCATAAGAAACTAAAACGTATTATCAATCAATTACTAAGTACAGGAAAAAGTCAGTGTCAATTTATAATTCTTTCTATATTTTTCTCACAGAGGTCAAATATAATGAACCAAACTGAATGGGTGTCTCTAAAAAACAAACTAGAGCACCTAATTTCTTCTTCCTCAGAGGAAAGGCTTTGTTATAAAAGTTAATTGAATTCTTATCTTCAATTCTATTTTTTCTCTATGTTCTCTATTATCTGACCTCTTTTCTTTTTTTTTTTCCTTTTTCTGACTTACCCTTCTTTCCTTATCCCTACCTGCTTTTATTACTAGAATTCAAAAGTCTTATCAATCTCTAAGTAAAATACGCTACTTAGATGCCAAATGTCTACAGTGATTTTACCATAAGACACTCAAGATTGCCACACTCACTAATCAATGCTGATGTCTGCTTTCTCTGCCCTAGCAGTAAATTCCTTGTTCACAACTAGTTGAGAGACCTAAAGGGTTACTAGTATCTTGGTGTTTGCCAAAAAATAAACATTTAAAATCAGAGTAAAAATTATTAATTCAGCAAAAACATTATAGTTTAAATGGTTATCTATATAGGATGTTATATTCTCTGCGTTATTCCTATACCTTTTTTTAAAAAAAGAAATCAATATTTTAAAAAGTTTGAGAAAATAATCTTGGATTTTATAATTTTAAATTGCCTAAAGAAATCTGATTATTTTCATAAAATGTTGCCTTCCCTTTGCAAATCAGGTCATATTTCACATAACCCTTGTGTTACAATCACATGGGTAAGTCAACTGATGGCTGTATAATAAAATTTTTTTAAATGTATTAAGGTAAAAACTTTGAAATACAAAGTTTAAGCCTACATAGATGGAAGCATTCCAGGGAAAAACTTTAAAAGTAACTGAAACCACTTGTGCTTACTTAGATTTTTAATCTAGCCACATATTATAATCACTTAAAAGAGCTTTCTAAAAATATCAGCCAGCCTCAGAGACAGAGCAAGATCCTATCTCTCAAAAAAAAAAAAAAAAAATCAATGCCAGGGCCCCACATCCCATACCAAACCAAATGAATCAGAATCTCTGGGTTTTAGCACAGGAATTATTTCAAAGCTCCACAAACTGGCACAACTAGGACTCAAACCCCTAGCCATGTCTTTATAATTATTAACACAGCCTAAAATATTAAGGTGTTATTTAGCTTTAATAACACTTATTTTGAATGAATGCCATCCAACTAAATTATCTAAATGATCTAGTATTCCAGTACAATACCAACAAGAGTAGGTCCTCCATAATCATATGTTGGTGAACAGGTATTTTAAGAATCAAAATTACAATGAATTACTTCAGAAGGAATATGAAACTATTATAGTGCAGAACATATTATTTGACATTCTGCAATAATTATAGTTCCACATCCTTCAAAATATTTAATGATACAAATACCTAACAACCTGCAAGTTACAAGGTGATGGAGTATACAGCCTAAGATAAGGATTGGGACATTTCAGAAAGAAGAACTGATCAAGGCCTTGTTATACAAACAGCTGAAGTCCAGAATCTTATAGAACATAGGAGAAATTTCAGGGTTCCATCATACACAATGGTGTGACAGAGACAAACAGGAATAGGAAATGGAGAAAAAGCTAAGATTGTGTATAGATCGAAAGCTCTCTGAATAACAAACCAAGAAACTGTATTAGTCTTTAGGCAGTGGAGTCACTAGAGGTTTCTTTAAAAAGGAATAATCCAGTAGTCCACTTCCTGTAAGATGGAGTATGTATCTCCTATGTATCTCACTAAGTACCACTAAAAGCCCTAAACATTACAGATAAAACAAGCACAAGAAGTCTGTGAAAGGTAAAGAGAGGAAGGCGGACTGACTAGAAACAACTCCGCAGTAAGTGTCCCTATGTTTGCATTTTGCCTCATTATATTTTAGACTTATAAATGAAAAGGTGGCTATCTGGAAATACCAACAGTGGAAAACAATAACAAAGCCCCAATAAAAGTCTTTAACCAAAAGATCAGGAAAGGGCAGTCTAGCAAGACAGAAAACTTAAGACAAAAATATTACTACTCT